CTTTCTTTCACGTTTTCTCATCATCGTTACCCATCCGGCTTGCCACAGGTTTGCCTGCTGCAGCAACCCAGACTGACAGCAGCTCATTGGATAATAGCCTGGTGCCGGATGCTATGGAGGGCTTTACCGTACAAACAGGACAAGCGGCGCAAGTGAAATTAGACACTTCCGTCAGACAACACGCAGTAATTTGTAAATGATTTAAATCAAGGTTGGGTCTGGATTAACCAGTAGGTGGGTCCAGATCCGGACCAAGGCCCACTGATCTGCAACCTCTGATTTAGTAGCTGCATTAATGGCCTTCATCTTGATTTCTGGTAGCTCTGAGCTTCTGCCAGCAGATGGCGCCACATCTGTTTATGTCCGCTCATGACGCCTCATGCTGAGGTTCTATTTAGGCTCCAAAAGGACGATCAAAACACTATCAGGATCGACGCTTGGAGTATATAGCCTATTTTATCATAATTAACTGAATTCTGGTGTTTTTTAGTTAATGCTTCTGTGTGGTGGTCAGATGAAGGGTGGGAATACTTTTACAGGGCACTTCAAACTACACTGTGTGTAGTTGGTGTCCAACAGGTCTGTGTTATCTCCTCAGTCTGGATTTCTTTCTGCAGCAGCCGCTTCAGATGCCTCAGATTGCCAGATAGACTGAAACCTGCTGCTCTTCCTCGTTTACAGGGGAGGGCGAGAGCTGGAAGGATGAGCTGCTGGAGCTGTCTCGCTCCAAACAGGAACGCATCATGTCTGAGCTTCTCTGCCTGCAGCAGGTGAGGCTTTAGGTAACACAGCTCTAAGTGCAGCACAGCAGGACTCAATCAGACCAGGTGCACTAAATCCACAGAAAGAATAAAATCCCTGAAGATGATTCACATCTTTCCTCGTTCCTCCTGCTCTATGGGGGTGGGTTTCCTGTTTGTCTGCATTCCTCAGCAGGTTTCTACAGTTCCTTTGCTCTAATGCTGTGCCTCTGGACACACATCAGCTGTAGAGACACAAGTTAAAGCCCCCCCACCCCCCCAAGTTTCAGTGACATAAAGCATTTTCCACAGCTACACATGTTCTTTAAAGTTCTTAAAGTATAAAATAACACATTATGGGATGATATTGCTGATATTTCCTTTTTTTAAGGGTGTTTAAAAAGATTTACTGTTATAAGAAACACTGTGGATTTTGATTCAAGTCCTTTTCATGTCTAAACTGTAATGAAGAAAAAAAAAACGATTTGTAAGCCTGAATTTTATCCCCTATCCAACCAGATTGCCCTAAAAGCTAAGTATTGGGGGAAACATTTAAATACGTTTTCAGAAAATGTAAATAAATAAATAAAGGAAGAGTTTGGTTCCTTCCATCTCTGTCCATCCTTCCTCTTTGTTTGTTTTTCTTTTTTTCCATTCAGGCAATTTTTTCATTGACGTATATTTTTTTTTCCATTTAGTGTATTTCCCCATTATTCAGCTGGTTATGAAGAAACATTGCCTTAAAACGAAAAAAAAAAAAACAATCCAAGTATTTTCTTTTCAAATGCGTAATATCTAAATGTCTTATATTACGTGGAAAGATACTCATTGCATTGACAGATTATCTTATTCAGCTGCTCAAATTAGGGAAAAATCCACGGATTTTAAGGAGTTTTTTCTTATTTTCAGATTTTTTTTTATTTTTACGTTTGTTCATGTGTCAGGTGCAAGTTTTGTTCTTTAAGAAAATATGAACTTATGTTAATTTACTAAAAACTATTTTTTTCTGACACTGTTGATCTTTATTTGTCTTAAACTGAGAGACGAAACAGGAAGACGTCCAGTAAAGAGCCTCGGTGTCACAGCTCGCCTCTACGCAGGGTGACGCGCTCTATCCCTACACCCACACAGCTCCTCAAATCATAAAACTTTAGTAATTCTTCTTCAATTTTGAGTTTGAGAAATATAGAATTTTGATGTGAAATGTTTCACTTCATCAGAACAAGAAGCTATAAAACCATTTCCTGCTGCTGTGTTTTTTCCAGGTGTGTGAGAACCAGAGGAAAGACCTGCAGCTGCTGCGGCTGAACCAAGGGAGCACGCAGAGAGCACTGAGGGAGAAACTCAACAGGTGAAAACAGCATCCGTTTATTCCACAAGGTCTGGAGAAAGGAGTTAATAATGAGCTGCAGTTTCTCTGTGTCCCAGCCAGGAGGAATGGGACGTCCAAGGTGAAGTCCAGGGCTCCATGGCAACCAATAGCAAACCTGGAGGCTTGTCATTGAATGTAAGATATTTTCTAAAAAGGCGATTTTACCAAAAAACAACAAACCTCTGCAAAAGATTGCTTCAGGTTGATGGAAGAAACATTAAAAAATCTGCTTTAGGGTTTGATAACTTATTTAATATCTGTACAAATCAATAAACTGTTTAGTATGAAAACCTGCAGAAGGATGGATTCTTCAGCCCATATATCCTCCAGAATCTTAAAAAACTCATCTAATATTTTCATTTCCTGAAGTTACCTCTGATTGCATGGTGAGTTTGACCTTTTCAGTTTATGCTGATAAAACTCCCTGATGACTTTAAAGAGGCTCTATGCTTTACTGTGGGACATTCGGTATTACCTGTTTTTTTTAAGGCCCATACCAATTATTTTGATATCAGTCGGCCATTTTTCAGGGGGCTGATTTTTTTAAGCCAATATAAATTTCTCTATTTTAATTTACATAAAAACTACAGAATTAAAAATGCCAATGAAACTTCATTTAAAATAAATAAAAAGTTTATTAACAGATCAAACAAACATCAATGGATAGAAGGTATAATTGATGCATGAGATGATTTCTACGATGCATCGGCAAACTGATGCACGTATCGACCGATATGCTAATATGGGACAGAAAATAATTACTTAGGATTTTTCTGAGGTGCGTGACCACGCTCCCCATGCAGAGGTTCTGCAATCATTGTCAGAGACAGATTTGACGGTTGCAGAGGCTATGCATCGGAAGGATAAATTGGCCTTAAGTCTCTGTCTGTCATACAGCACATTGAGCTTGTTCACATTTGGTCTCCTTGTGTCTTAATATGCTAAAAAACTGCATTTAGAAATCCCCTAATTAGTTGACGATATTATCTCCTAATGGATGCTACTAGTAGCTCAGAAAAGCATTAGTGGACAAACTGCATCAGGGAGGCAGCATCACAACAGCAAAGATACCCGGAAACTTTCCCTCTGCCTGAACTTAGCCTGCAGGGAAAACATTAAGAGAATAAAAGCAGGAGGTCCACGTAGAAATCTGTCGACTAGATCAGGGATTCCAACAAATGCATGTTCATAAATTACATTTAATTTTTAATACACAACTTTAAATGTATTTTCAATCATTTATTGCCACATTGTGTGTTTTATAATTTCATGGTTTATCTGATAATTGAATCATGTATTCAATAAATAAATTTTCAAATAACATTTGATTATATAATTGTTATTTTATGGTATATTTAATATTTAAATCAGGTTTTATATAAATAAATAACTGTTATTTCTACCTATTTCATGGTACATTTATTTATTTTTTGGAACATTTAGTAAGTTAAAGTTTATTTATAGTGTACCTTTCTCAGACAAGCATCACAAAGTGCTGTACAATAAAATACAAAACGGCACCATTTAAATATACATACAGACAAAATACAGGCATTGCAGTCCTTGATAAAATGAGTTTAAAATGCTTGGTTGACATAAATGACATCTTAATGATTATGAAAACCATCTTGGTGTCTCATGACTCTCTGGGGGTTCCTGAACCTTCCTTTTTGTACCTCTGCATTAGTCTGCTATTAGTCCTGCTCTCCTGAACTCTGTTCACTACCCCCCCTTGAGAAACAAGGTAGTGGCAGCATGATGTTGAGGGGGTGTTTTCTTTTCCTGTAGGGGCCAGGAAGCTGGTGATTTTTCCCAGGTCCTGATGGAGTCTCCTGTCTGTCTCCCATCAGGCTGCTGATCAGCTGTCGGTCTGCTCTCTAAACCAGCTTTGGGGAAAGTCCAGCTTGATCCGAGTTCTTGCCGCTCCTGATAGCAGCAGTTTAAGGCATCCGCTTTGTGAGAGCCAGACAGCCCACCAGCAAGCAAACACCACGATACTAAAGGTAAAGCAGTGGTTTCAACCTAAACGGCCCTGTAATGGGCGGGGGTGGCACTAATTGAAAAAGTCGTCTTAGTTTGTTTGTTTTCTTTCCAACAGAGCAGCGATGCTCCACCCAAAGCCTGCCTCCATCATGGCGTCAGTCAACCAGACAGCACTGGACTCTTTTCTTAACTAAAATAAGGAATTTTCTCTGCAAACTTTGTATTATGAAGTGTAATCAGAACATTAAAAACACATATTTTTGTATTTTAAGGTGCTTATGTTAAAAAGCAATCTCTGCCTTTAACCTCAGGAAGGAAATGAAGTCGTTAAAAAGCAAACTTTCAAATGTGATCATGACCTCAGTGTTTTATGTTGCATTATTTTTTGTATTTTCTACATTTTTTATAATCTATGTAAGTTTGATGGTGGATTTACCTGCTCAGTGTTTTTTGTTTTTTAACCTTGAATCCTTTTGTACGTAATGTATTGTCTGAAGTGGGGGGAGACGTGAAACCAGTCTTACAGGGCTGATGAGAGCTGCGTCTTAGTGCCGTTTTTCCAGTTTCACTGCCTTCTCTCTGTGACTCAGAGGAAATATCTAAAGCTCTCATTTGCTTTTACATCTTGTAACCTGAAAGATTGGAAACAACTTCTTTTATATATGAATATATCTATATAAATACCTCTCTCAAACACGTTCTTTCTGGTAATGCTTTTTTTTTAAGTTAATCTATTTTTAATGTGTTGCTGCTTTATATTCTGTAGAAGTTTTTTTATTCCTTTAACATTTTATTTTGAAAGGTCTGAAAATCAAGTTTAACAGGAGTGATCTGGTGACCTGACGCACCTTCAGTTGATTGTTTTTTTTTAAGCGGCCAGGAAAACTCTGGTGAAGAGCTGGATTTAAAAGTATAAATACTTTGGATTCATTCGTCCAACTTTACGGAGACAATATGAGTAAAACAAAGACTAAAAATGATAATAAGACGGAGAAAGCTCTGGCTGCGGAGAAAGAACAGTTTGGCAAACAGCAGGTGAGTAGAAAAACTGACATTTTTTAAAATAATCTTTGATTTTAAAGTATTTTGCCTCATATATTCGACAGCTAGAAACTAACATAACATTTTAGTTCAAAGATGTTTCTTTTAAACAGTTTTTCAAATGATTTCTACTGAGTGTTTATAACCAGTCAATATCTTACCTGTTGTACATAAAATAAAGCTTACTGCTTTTTACATAAAGGGGTCATGAGAAAAACATGTTAGGGAATCGATATTATATTAAATGCTACATTAGTTCTTATGAATACACAATTAAATCTAATCCCTTTTATTGTTTGTGTTTGATGGTTTTTAATGTGATTAGTTTTACTCAGCAGCTGATTTGATCTCTTTCCCTTTTTAATTATCTTTCTATTTGATTTGAAAACCAATCTAGACAGAATAAATGTTAATAAATAAGAAAAAAAAACTATATAAATAGGTGCCTTTTTTATTTTATAATTTTTAGTCAGTCTAAAGTTATATGGTCCTTTTATTCCTCTCTTAGTGTTTCACATGGGAGGCTTATAGTGTTGAACCATAGAGCAACATAACTTCAGCATTCAATAAAAATTATGATTAAAATAAACATGACTTTAGTTCAAAGGTTTATTAAAGAATTATCAACCACACTGTGAAAAATCCAAATCTAGATAAGTCATTTTTTCTGAAAATAAGTGCATTTGTTCTTGAATTGAGGATTTAAAAGAGACATTTTGCCAATGGTACAAGACAATTTAGATTTAAAATAAAAAAAAAACAATTGCATTGTCTTATTTCAAGTGCATATTATTGAAATATCTTATTATAAGAGTAAAATGCTCATTCCATTGGCAAACTATCTCATTTACATATTAAAATCAAGGTTAAATACACTTATTTTAAGAAATTTCTACTTATTTCTAGGTCATTTTTCCAGTGCATAACTACATTTGATTGCTGAGTTGTCTTATTTTTGTAGAAGTACACTTTTTTAATTGGCTCCAGTTTATTAGCCCTTAGCTTTAGCATCCTGGAAAAAAAACTAACATTCCTCCAAAATAAATACATTAGGTCTACAGCAAGTGAATTAAATCACTTTAAGATGTTTTATGTTTACTTTTAAAATGTTAGAGTAATATCTAATGAGTAAAAAATAGATGTTGTATATAGTTTCTGTAAGTTTAACTTATTTATTGTTTCTAGTGGAGCACAGGGATTTAAAACTCTTTGCTTTTGTCATTTTATTTTTTTCAGCTTCACAGTCTCAGCAAAATCGCCACCTCAGCTGAAGTTCCACC